TTATTGTACCCAAAGCATAATAATCCATTTCATGTAATTAAAATACCTTTATATTGAATCAAGTGATCATGTTATGATGATTATATTAAACAGTAATAAATTCAATGAATTTATTAATTATTATCTAATTATTATCATCGTGACTTGAAGTGCCCTTCTTGGGACGGAACAGCAGATATGGTGTTATGATCTTGAGCACACATCGTGGCTCCTTGGGTTAATCTGTGGATTCAAAAGTACTGTTTGACCCAGCTTGACCCAGCTGGGCAAATGTGACCGTTGCCACACATCAGAGAACCTTCGTCACGTTACACCATCAAAGGATTTCTAACTGTGTTTGATATTTCACGCAAAAATCTCTCGCACTGTGAATAAGTCATTCACTGCGCCTGCTGAGGCCAAATCAGTAGCATTATTTATTCAGCAAAGGGCATTGAATCACTTTGTTCCATAATTTGTTTTTAACTTTTCCCTCAAAAATGTATATTTTTCTCTCAAGTAAAAATGATAATGATGTCTGTTGGAGAAATTTAATCAGAATTTGACTTTTTAAATCAATTTATCACAACTTAACTGGCATAAATATATGAGACATTTCTACTTAACCCTCCCACTGTATTTATTGGTGACCCCGCAAGGAAAGGTGACCATTGAGCAGGCTTGATGGTTTATCCCTTGAGGTCCACGTGGCAGGGGTGAGGTAGTGCTCACTCCAAACACACCCACATCACCCCGCTTCTCCTCCAGCTTCACTGGCTGCCAGTCAACTTCAGGGTTCATTTCAAGATCCTGGTTCTGGTCTATAAGGCCTTACATGGACAAGCACCATCTTACATTGGTGATCTTCTTAGTCCCTACACCCCCAGCAGGTCCCTGAGGTCCAGTGATCAAAGCCTACTGGTTGTGCAGCACACCAGGCTAAAGGTCAAAGGTGACAGATCATTTGCTGCTGTGGCCCCCAGACTCTGGAACTCTCTCCCCCTGAGCCTGAGATCAGTGGACTCAGTGGTCTCCTTCAAAAAGCAGCTGAAGACTCACTTGTTCAAGCTGGCTTTTGTATGACCTTCTTCAACCCCTCGCTCTTTATTCTGCTCTCCCCACCTATTCCACCTTCCTCAGGATCCACTGATTTCCCTCTTTCCCATTCACTCTCTTTCTTAACATTATTTAATCACAATTGCCTATTTTTGCTCATTTTAAATATATTTTTAAACATTTTCTAAATGCTTTTTTATATTTTTACAGTTTTTGTTTTTGTGAAGCGCCTCGTGATTTTTATCTTGAGAGGTGCTATAGAAATGATATCTTCTTCTTCTTCTTCCTCACCCCTGCCACACTGACCCAAGGGATAAACCATCAGTGCTGCTCAATGGTCTACTTTCCTCGCAGGATCACACCCATTAGGACAGCGGGAGAGTTAAAGAAGACCACTTTAACTTAAAACCATCAAACTAAATGAGTAAAATGGAAAAGATCTACAGAGAAAAAGCAAAAAGGCAGAAGAGGGAGGAGGGCTACTTTCTGCAGCAATGCTGACATGAATAAATTCCAATTCCCAGCTTTGAAGCAGCTGGAAACACCCTAACTCGTTCCACAACTTCAAAAACGTGACATTATAATAGATCTTCCTGAGTTTTGTGTTCTCAGCTGCTCGTAACCAGGCTTCCAGCTCTCTCTGTATCACTTTTTTCTTCAGAGTTTCAATGCTGCAGTCTGAATATAGTTAATTCAATTTGTGCTCCTCCTCCCTGGTCTGCCACCTTCTCATGGTGGAGGGGTTTAAGTGTCCCAGTCAGAGCTAAGCTGTCTGGGGCTTCATGCCCCTGGTTGGGTCCCCCATGGCAAACAGGTCCTAAAGGATCAGACAGTGCAGCCCAAAGACCTCTTATGGAGAATAATATCAATGGAAACAGTGCTCCCTCGCTCAGGGGGACCTCAACGCTCACGTAGAAATGACAGCGAGACCTGGAAAGGTGTGGTCAGGAGGAATGCCCCTGCCCCCCAGATCTGCATCCAAGTGGGGTTTTGGGTTTCTGCGCTCATCATGGATTGTCTATAATGATGTTCAAGCGTAAGGGTATTAGGGCCTGCACGACTTTATTTTTTTTAAAGTCGACAGTCAAGTAATGAAAGTCGAGTCGACTTCGACTTCGTTGATTACGGAAGCGGCGGCGGGGGGTGGGGGGTGTCGGTCGGTAGGTTCACTGGAGTTTTTGACAATTAAAATTGCGCCCACATTTTCTAAGTTAACACATCTCTTTTAACAACAGTAGTTTCTGCATCCTACTTCAGTCCTCTCCCCCCTCCCCCTGCGCAGCAGCCGCAAACTCACTGATGCACCTGCAGCCTCTCGGAGTTCCTGCTGCTCTAAACATTAAAATAATTATTTCATTTTCTGTTCCTCACTTCTGATTACCTTCAGTGGTGTCTGTTTGTTGCAACCACCAGGTACAAAAACTAACTTGTTTTTATTTGACTATTTTTCTGTCCTGCCTGTTTATTATCTTCCTGCATCTCCTCTCAATCCTAAAGAAAAACTGCTATCTGGGTTCATTTATATTCACCTTATGAGTTACCTTTGAACTGCAGTTCTAAAAGATCTACCGACCGCAAAAACAGCGGAGTGCGTGCTGCTTGCCGGCCGACTACAACGGGACCGTTTTTGCTGCTGAGTTCATGCCGGAGCGGAGCGGAGTGGAGATAGTGGAATCTTGGGGGTGCGTCACCGGAGGACAACAGGTGATGCGCCTCGCTCCGCAGCAGCGAAATGCATCAGGCACAAATAACAGACAGAAAACATGAAAGGAAATGAGCCGACATGAACGATCGGGTGTTTAATTTGTTTTTGAGGTGGTGACACCTGATTTGGCGGTGCTCAGGACGCAATGTCTGGAGCGCACGTCAACGATCAGAGCTTTGCATGCACAAACTGGTTAAGGTTAGGATGGGGGTGAGGGGAAGGTTAAATTGCAAGAGGGAAAAGGTCACAGTTTGGTTAAATGTCCGTTTTACCGCCGGTGTCAGTATCGCACAGCGCGTCGCCTCCGCCTCGATCCAGACGCGCAGGGGTTCATCACCTGCTGCCTTTTCCGAGGACTGCATCTTGTCAGTCATTATTACGTGACAGTGACTAGTTGATGACAGGCATAAAAAGTCACTACAGAGCCGTGAAGTCGACTAGTCGACTAGTCGACTATTTCATGCAACCCCTAAAGGGTATCTATATATGCTTTTGGCACCAAGATACCTTCGGCTACAGCTCAGTTATCAACCTTTTTACAGTTTCATCTGACCTGCAGCCACATGTTTTAGACTCGGGGTGAAGAGAGGTGTGCAGCAGGATGCCGTCAGATCTGGTCAACGTATTGTGAGTATCTGCTGGGAGCACCTGGCAGTAGCCTGGCCTGCCAGACTCGTCCTCTGTTTAATTCTGCACAGAGACAGAGTCTGGTAACTCACAGGCAGAGAGGCACTTGAGGGGCGGGGCTAGCCAGCTCAAAAATAACCAGTCAGAAAAAAGATGGAAATGTCGACTGTAGTTTTTTAGCTGTAGTCAAAAATGGCATCTGGCAACGGCACAGACATCTTTTTTATTTTATTTTATTTTTTTTTAGAAGAAATGCTTTTAGCGCTTCTGCTTGTTGTTTTAAAGACATTCAAGTCATTTAGAACAGAGGAAAGAGTCACAGCGAACTCCACTTCAGTCGCCATGTTTATGACTCGGTGTTGTGGTGTGTGACATACGCTACTCAGCGCTGATTGGCTCGGTTAGAATTCTCAGGGGGTGGGGTTATTTGAATAGGAGAGTTCCCAGACCCTTTCTCTGTGCAGAATTAAACAGGGGAGGAGTCTGGCAGGCCAGGCTGGTCTGGCAGGGTCTCTTAAGTAGGAGCTTTAGGAGTCCTACGGGGTACCAAGCCCTCTGATACTGGCTGTTAGGCATGAACGGTGTCAGAGCTTGGTCCACGTTGCCGGCAGTTAGTTAAGCTAGTTTCTGGTGAGAGTTGGACTCCACCAGAGCTGCCCTTTGTCAGTGATTCTGTTCATAACTTTTATGGACAGGATTTCTGATGAAGTGGGGTGGTGAGGGGATCCGTTTTGATGGCCTGAGGGTAAGGTCTCTGCCCTTTGCAGATGATGTGGCCCTGTTAGCTTTATCAGACCGTAATCTCCAACTTTCACTGGAGTGGTTTGCAGCCGAGTGTAAAATGGCTGGGATAAAAACCAACACCTGGAAATCCAAGACCATGGTTTTGAGCTGGAAAAGGGTAGGGTGCTTTTGGGTCGGGGATGAGGTCCTGCCCAAAGTGGAGGAGTTAATGTATCTTGGGGTCTTGTTCCCAAATGAGGGAAAATGTAGAGGGAGGTAGATGGGTTTGTTGCTGCTGCGTCTACAGTGATGCAGGTGTTGGGCCAGTCTCTGGTGAAGAGAGAGCAGAGCTGGAAGTAGGAGTAATAGATTTATTGGTTGGTCTACGTTTCAACCCTCATCTACATTCACAAGCTTTGTGGGGTGACCAAAAACAAAAACAAGATTGTGGAGAAGAAACTAAAATGAGTTCTCCTCGCAGAGTGTCTGAGGTCTTCCGTAGAGAAGGGTACGAAGTTTGGTCAATGGGAGGGGCTCGGCGTAATATCAGCTACTCCTCCCCATTGAGAAGGGCCATTTGAGGTGGCTGGGGCATCTGGTTAGGAGGCCTCCCTGGTGAGGTACTCCAGTCCAACTGGAACGATGCCTAAGGGAAGACCCAGTAAAATTATGGAGGGACTATGTTACTTGGCTGGCCAGGGAACACCTTAGGATTACCCCAGAGGAGCTGGCCCAAGAGCCTGGGGAGAAGGAAGTTTGGGCTATCTACTTAACCTGCTGCCCCCGTGGCCCGACCCCAGACAAGTGAAGGACAAAGGATGGTTGGATGGATGGATGGATGATTTGTGTTTTTTTAACCCCTTCTTTAAGTAATTTTGGGAATTGTAGCACACAGATTTTGGAAGCAAACCTTGTGGAAGCTGCCATGGAAGATTTTTTTGATATCTGGTCCTTCGAAGGTAACCGTTTGGAAGTCTCCTCTGTAGTCATAGTTGAAGAACGTCAATGTCTTCCCTGAATCTAAAAGCAGACAGAAAGAAGAAGTGAAGAGGTAAGAAGAGCCAAAGTTCTGATTTAAGGCATTCAATTACATTTATTAGGTTTCTCACCACATCAGCTCATACTCTTTCAATAACGTTTTCTATATAAAACAACACAATAAGAACAGTAAACTGGAATCTTATCACAGGAAATTATGGTGTATTTATAAAATAGACTAGCAATTTAAACTGTTGCTTATGAGCTAATAAAAAGGAAATATCAGAAAGGTCTTGGTATTTTGGCAGGAAGCCAGAAGTCAACTAGTCTGGTTTGAGACACTGATGCTACAAACTCCCTCCAAGGACTGTTGCATAAAGTGAGTTCAACCAGCCAGTCAGCTAACCAGTCAGTCAACCAACCAACCAACCAACCAACCAACCAACCAACCAAAAGATGATGGTTTTGAAAACCAAAGCAGCACCATTTGTGATGTTTTTGCACTTTCCCTTTCCAAACTTGTGAACTTTCTTCATTTATTTGAAAGAAAAGAAAACAAAAAATAAATAAATCAAGAAAAAAAGTTGCAAAACTGTTATTCAAACTTACTGTCAAGGATTAGTCCCACCAATGGCTCATTGTTTTTGTTGAGAATTTCCCACAATGCAAAGGGTTCCTGCGGCGTCTCAGGGAGTAAACGAAGCATCATAGAAATGGTGTAGTCAGACGGTAAACCCTCAGGATGAAGGTAACTGGTGCAGGAGTGAAAACACACACACACACACACACACACACACACACACACACACACACACACACACACACACACACACACACACACACACACACACACACACACACACACCGGGGTTGGCTGTGCTTTAAAATCTTGTAGCCCCTGGATGTGTTTTAAAAGTGTCAACGTCTTTTCCAGCGACTGCTCTCCGCTGCTTCCCGCCGACTCTGAGCAGCCGCTCTTTTCTGATCACAGCAACTTTTGAGTCTCCGAGAGCTTCAGGTTTAAATCTCACCTTCAGCTTTTCGCTCTGCTCATGGCTGACACTTTTCTAAAGCGGCACAATCACACAACAGGAGGGTAAAATTACAGCTTGCTGACAGCACAAACTGGAAAAAGCTCACCAAGTGACAACAGCATAGAAAAGAAGAGTTTAGAAGAAAAAAATTAAACAGCTAAAAGCTCAGATTTGGTACGACTCAGTTTTACATTTCTTAGACTAATGTTTGAAGTTTCTAACTGAATTCAACAGTGATATTTAGACCAATTATCTTCACGTAAATCAGTACTAGTTTTTGTTCAAACAAGCAAATATTCTTTAAATTCATTGAACTTGTAAGTAAAAATCTCAACCTTAAGCTTTCATCTTAGCTGACACGGGTTTACGAGTTTACTCGTTTTGGCTGAACAGACTGCAGACTGTCGGATGGACGGTGTCGTCATGACGGCTCATGTTTCCCGCCGCCGTCTTCACCAAAACCACTAACTTTGTTAGGCCCACAGGAATAATATGGGCGGAGAAAGTTGCAGGTAAAAGAATGAGATACCAGGTGCTCAGCTTTTCTTTCTGCCAATCTTCTAACAGCTTCTATAAACATCATCGTCGCTAAATGTTTTTTTTTTTATCAAGAGAGAAGAATAAATAATGGAGCAACTAGATTATCTGCATCAACAATGGAGGTCTAATAGGAGTAGACTAATTAGTTTTTATGGGATAGTACTAAAAACTTCAATTCATCAGTAAAAAGAAGCAGAATTACAAAAACAAACTGCTGGACAGGTGCTCTGCATGGCATTCTTCCCTCTACTCACATGGTGGGCTGTAACACCAGAGCGTCGCGGTGCAACCTGTAGCAGGAGAAGCTGTTGAAGGAGCCGGGCTCCAGAGAAACTCCAGGTATGGAGCTGTACTCCTTCTCCACCAGGCCAAACTTCTCCATCATCCTGAAACCTGAAGCATCGTCATCATCATCATCGCTGCAGTAATCATTCCCATCTCCACTGTTTGGACCATCATTACTGCACTGCTATCATTATTGCAAACATCGTCTGATGGACCACTGAGACCATTGTCTGGGAAATGAAACCTCTTACCTGCCATCGTGTTACCACCCATCAAAACCGATGGACATGCTGGAGGGAGGAAAAGAGCACATTAGTTCAACTCTGATATTTAGATTTTTTTATTGTTCTGTTCTATGTGACATTTTTTCAGTTTAAAAGTCAGCTGAGAAGCCGTTTTGCTTCTGATTTGTGTTTTAGACCTGCTACTCACTGGCAGTTGCAGCCTCACAGACGAAGGTGATGAGCTGCTCTTCTATTTTCTTCACAGCGTCCAGATCATCCACAAAAAAGACGTGCCGATCACTGGGTTTACTGGCAATGTTCACCAGCTCTCCGTAGTCTGCATCCGCAAAGCCGATGGCAAAGATGATGTAGCCTGAAAACGAGATCGACAATATTTGATTCAAGATTGAAGTCAGAGGTAAACCTTTGTCTGATAGGAAATAATGTCAGTCACGAGTTTTACACAGCAGTTCAGCAACTAACACATATTTAAGGAAAAGTTAATGAACTGGACCCGGACTGGATCAGTAAAAGCTAGCATTGTTTATTAATCCCTTTTCTTTTAACAGAAGTCATAATCACCTTCCATTTGCATCTCTCTGGACACTTTGTTTACATCATCTTGTGAACGTCCATCAGTCAGAACAACCAGGACTTTAGGAACGCCCCTCCTGGCTCCTGCTGCTGGTGTATAAATGGATTCCTTCACATGTTTGATGGCTCGACCTACAACAGAATAACAAAGATTATGAAAAAGGGCATCACATCGACATGCTGAAACATCTGTTTATGATTTAGAGCAGTTGTGACAGAATTAACTGTACATTATTAAAGAGACAAAATCTAAACTTCTTTTAGGTCAGTGAAGATGTTTCAGGTCTCATCCTAGATCTTATTTTGGATCCAGCTGATGACAGAAAAACAACTAAACTGCCCCTGGTGCCATTACCAGTAAACATCACATGCCTTGTAAGTCATTCTCTGGGGGTGAACCCTTTATAGGAACTAGAGCCCTATTTCCTGATATCTGAAGATCTCACCTCTGATAGGGTAACAGCAACATGATTCCACCACTGACTTGCAACTTTGATGTTTCATCTCCACAAAAAACACAAGCCTGGAGGAGTTCTGCTGTGTGGTGGAGTTACTAATGCTAATGGTTAGCTTCTACTAGCATCTCCCCGTCGTGAGTCCATGAATGTTGAGTGACAGTGTGACATATCTGTTCAGGATTTTCTAATCCTAGAGTTTTACCATCTATTTTCTATCAGAAGCTAATGTAGGAGATAGGTGTAGGAGACTATTTTCATGTTCAGCCTGCATGAAAAACTCAGAGTGACCGATTATAATCAGAAATAAGATCTAAACAATGGGTTTTCAGTGCTTCACACCTTTGAATAAAAAGTTTTTCCAAAACATATAACTTTCATCTAAACTTGAAAGCACGAGCAATGAAACTGTAAGTATCTACTTACAGGAACTCATGACCCAGAAGAGGAAGCACAAGAACAAACTCATCGTCATAGAAACTCATAGTCATAGATTAGAGTCTGTAAAAAATTGTAAAATCCTTTATAGTCGACTGAGAAACTAGCTAAATGAATCAATCATTTGAAACTACATTTAGTACTTTCTAAGGTTATTGGTCTGAACATTAAGGCTTTTTTTGTTGCTGATCTAAAACATGTTTGCGTGAGAAAGCCAAAACAAGAAAAAGAAAGCGGGTAAACGCTTTGTTCCAGCTGTGTGTCACAAAGTGCAACCTTCAGTGGTGCAAGGACAAACGTTACGATCAAACTTTAGACTTAGATTGTGTGATCAGCTGCTAATAGACCTATCAGTCAATAAGTGTTAACTTTTAAAAAAGTGAAAGACTCTTTGGCAGCACCGTTCTCTCGAGGTCTTTTACGTCAGCCACTCTGGTGATGCTTCAGCCACGTCTGAATGGGTTTTTGATGTTAAATTCAGGAGAGTATCTTGGTGGCTCTCTGTGCTGCTGCAGAGAACCAGAGCATCTCAGAAACCTGGACTCTGACTATGATGGATGTTTTTTTTTATTTTTATAAAAGTACAACGTTCTGTCACTAAACAGGAGTAGAAATGAAGTACTTGATATAAAACTTGACACTGGTGATCCAAGTGGATGAGTAAACTCATTATGCTGGGTCACTATGATTTAATGTCAGTATTTGCACTTGTCTGTGATAACTTGTTAAACATGTTCATAAGGTCGCATCGCTAATCCTCTCCTGACCTTTTCATAATAAACTAAAAAGTCATCCAGCACTATTCATCCTCTAAAGTCCCCTTTTGTTAAATCCCCCCACTCATGACTCGAGAGTTTTAACTGTTTAATTGTCCCAGGAGAATGAGATCAGCACAAGAATGACCAGAATTTACCAGAGTGTCACGTCTTTGTCTGAAATGAAAAGCAAACTCTGTCAATAAAATCGTAACCCTTTCCTTCTCGTTTCCATTGATTAAGATGTCAGCGGTGACAAATGATCAAGTGCATGTTCTGGTAAAAGTTGTGATGTCAGATATCTGAGAGCAGTTCATCTGTTCTCACTCTGTCCTCTGATCATGACGGGCAACTTTGGAATTACAACAGCCGAGCGTGAAGGGACATGTGCAGAAAAACATAATATATATCTATATATATCTATATATATCTATATCTATATATATATAGATATAGATATATATATATATATATATATATATATATATAGAGAGAGAGAGAGAGAGAGGGAGAGACAGAGAGAGAGAGAGAGAGAGAGAGAGAGAGAGAGATAGATATAGATAAAACTCATCATCAGTAACGTGAAATAAATATAAAAAATATGGGTACAACTTTACAATGAAGCTTCCCTTAAAAAATGACAAATAAATTACCTCCCTTCATTAATCTGAACAAAACACTGTAAAATAAAATAGTTTTTGGTTTACTCTTTGTGTTTTTTCACTTGTTTTCTGATCTTCGACTGTTTAGATCTTTATTAATTATTTTTGCCTTTTAATCATAATTAAATTTTGATGTCTTTGTGAAGCACTTTATGGTTTGATTTGTGATAAGTGCTACATACATACACTTTACTTACTGACTTAAATATTAACACCTATTAAAGCGAGTGAAGTGGTACCATATAGGCTCCGTCCTTCTGTTACAAATGTTTATTAGTCATAAATAAAGACCGACAACCGGATGGTCCGGTAGTTGCTTTCGGTCCAGAACGTGTTACGGGGGGAGGTTTTTCAGACAAATGTGAGAGAACCAATTTATTACATTATCTTCCATCTCCACAGCATATTTATCACATTACTATGGTAGAATGTTGTTAAGAAACACAAAATAGTTTTTTCAAATTTTCTCTAACAGCTTTAATATATAACTGCTAAATGAAATATAGGTCAACATATATAGCTCACTATTTGGCAAGCAACTGGTCAGGCTTGTCTCATTCTCACCCTTTATTAATGATTGATGAAGTGTTGCAGATTATTTGATAACACATATATAAACTATTTGTTAGCCATTAATAAAGGGAGACCTTTTGAAAATTGGTGCACAAATATGGTCTGCAATGATTTAGTTAAGCAGTGTGAAACTCCATGTTGTGATGTGTGTGCACATTAAAACACAGAGCCCAGATAATCCACCTTCACATCCAAAAGAGAAAAAACAGTTCATCACTTGCATAAGATGCAGCGAAACAGAGTCAATGATGAGTGCAATTATTCATGCAGAGTGTGAAAATGTCAAAACATGCACTCACATAGAGTGTGTATGCAGAAAAGAGGACTAAATGCCCATTAAATGAGCCAGTGAGAGGCTCACCAAAACCCTTATGAATAAATTCATGGTGAAATTTCAGAAACTGCCTGAGTCTTTAAAATGCTCCTCCAGCACATCCGTCTGAGTTCTGATAGTAAAAACAGACAGCGAGGTCTCTTAAGAGGCAGTTCTGTACCGTTTACAGAACTAAAAGAGGAAAGAGAATTATAAATAGCATTATGCTAAGAGAGCAAAAAATCTCTTTTTCTTTTCAGGAAAACCTTTGCAGAGATGGCAAGCAAGAAACTCCACCGCTGTTACTCCCGGCTATGCAGCCAGGTCCCAGGTGTGAAGAAGCAGTTGTGGTATGAATGTACACAAAAATAAATAAATAAATTAATAAATAATAATATATATATATATATATATATATATATATATATATATATAAAAACACAACACTTTTGTTTTTGCTCCTATTCTTTATGAGCTGAACTCAAACATCTGAAAATTTGTCTACATACACAAAACACCCATGGCTCTCAAATATTGTTCTGAAATCTGTCCACGTGTGTTAGTCAGCACTTTTCCTTTACAAAGATAATCCATCCCACCTCACAGATGTGGCATATCAAGGAGCTGATTAGACAGCATGAATAATGTACAGGTGTGCCTTAGACTGCCCACAATAAAAGGACACCCTGAAATGTGCAGATTGATCAAACAGCACAATGTTAATGCAATTGGCATGCTGACTGCAGGAATGTCTACCAGAGCTGTTGCCCGTGAAGTGACTATTCAGTGCAAGTAGAGTATGAAGCTTCAGGTGTGACATCAGAGGGAAAGATGGTGACAAAAGGACTTAGTCATCAGACTCAGGAAGAAAATACAACTTTATCAAAAGATAACAGATAGGAGACATAAAATACAAACTAAAAAAGGCATTTGGGATTGTGTGCTGGCACCAGCTGGTGTAGGCCAGATTTAGGGAGACTATGCGTCTCCTCACACCTCTGTTCTCGATTTGCTTGGGGCTGGAAGCTAGGAGTGGGAGCTGGCTGTCTGGTTGGGGTGGTGGGTCGCTTTGCTCTGCGTTGGGTGGGGATGCCTACTCATCATTACCCCAGTAAGAACGAGACCACCTCTGGTGTCCGGGAATGGTTATGCCCTCTGTGCAGCAGTACCGGCACCAGAGTGAGTAGGGTGCTTATGGGGAGCATGAGTGGGTGCATGACGTACACTCTTGTGCATCTTTAGATTGAACGTGTTTATGTTTGAGCATGACTGTGTGAGTGTGTGACTGTATCTGTCAGGTGGGGTCTTGGACTTCTCCCCTCTCCTGAGACATCTTGTGGTGCTACATCTTCTTCTACCCTCCCCTTGCTGGTGGGTGGTGTCTCAGTCGTCCTGCGTACTTGCAGCTCCCGTGTCTGCTGATTCCCTGACATTAAACCAACAGCTGACAAGGTTCTGCTGCTTTCTCATCTTATTTTGCTCCTCTAAGTTTTCTGCAGGTGGGCGTGTCGGAGAGTCACAGCTGCGGCTGATTTCCCATTAGCATGGCCAGGGGATTTAAGGAGCGGTGTTGCCACACTTCAGTGCCGGTTGATACTCTCACATTGGGTAACCTCTAGCCTCATCCTGCCCAGTCAGATTAGTTCTGAGCCTGCGTAATTTTGACTTGTACTTATTCAGCCTTCCTGTTTTCCACAGTATCTGCCCTGGATCCTCATCTCTGTTTTCGCCTGCCTGAAGTGTGTTTTACCACAACGTCGCTCATCTCCCCTGGCCGTCCATTCTCCACCATCCAACTGCCCTGGATCATCCTCAACCACCAGCTACCCATCTCCACCTGATCCCTCTCTGCACAGGCCTGACTTGCCTTCCCCTTCAGCCCATTATCAGCCCAGCGCCGTAAGACCACTCCATTTTCATTATCTAGTTTAATTTC